AATCCCACCAAACACAGCAAAACTTTCTTGCGTCAATCCGGTCTTGCACCGTCTGGCCGCTTCCCGAGCTTTGACACGACCGTTTGCGCACGATGTTGTCGTAGTGATCATTTCATCGCAGTCACAATCCGCTTCAGAAACGGGTCGGCAATTTTCGACAGGCCTCCCGACGTGTGATGCATCTTTGACATCGAAACTACCGAACGGAACCTAGCAAACCACTTTTGTGCTACACGTTCGTTTACAGTATCGGGGCCATAAACTAAATTAATTTTTCAGTCGCTTTGGCTGCTTTTCGCCTTGATCGAAGAAAATTGAAAATATAGCGAATTTTCTCTTTGCTGGTGTCCATCTTTGACGAGCGCTCACAACGTACTGAGTCAATCAATCGAAAAACTGTCAAAGACACACTTTACCGCGAATAAGCACGTTTTCAGCACCGTATAGTATGACATGATGCGACACGTAACACTAATACTATGAACAATAAAGCCATCTCTAGATAAAAACCGAACGAACTTTTAATTTACCTAATATTATTAGACAATTTTTGGTCACAAGTGGCATACTTAAACGTTTATTCACGCAAAGTTTTACCCCGATATATCATTGTTGCTTGATATGCTAGTGGAAAGTGAAAGAATCAGATGGAATTGAAAATGGTGTTATATAGGAAATAGGCGTGGTTGTAGTCCGATTTCGCCCATTTTCGCACTATAACATAGAAATATGAAAAGAACGTTATGCACCGAATTTAGTTGAAATCGGTTAAGCAGATCCCAAGATATGGGTTTTCACTAAAAGTAGGCTGTGCACGCCCACTGTCTAATTTTGAACACGGTTCTATAAAGTCATCTTATACCATCCAGAGATAAAATTAATGTCTCTGGGTGTTTAGGCTTAATTTATCGCGCTTTTAGTAGTTTTTAACAGTACCGTTATATGGGGAGTGGGCGGAGTTACCACCCGATTTCAACTATTTTCACACCGTCAATAGAAGTGCTAAAAGCAGTTGCTTCCAGTGAATTTTGTTATTATAGCAAAAAAAAATTTCAAGTGCAGATGTCCCTCCCTAATGTGATCTTGTGTACCAAATAACAGTCTTGTATCTTATTGCGGAGCTTAGTTATGGCAAATTTATTTGTTTTTGATTAATGGCGTTTTGTGGGCGTGGCAGTGGTCCGATTACGCCCATCTGCAATACCAACCGTCTCATGGTACTAAGAAACATGTCTACCAAGTTTCATAAAGCTATCTCAATTTTTACTCAAGTTATAGCTTGCACGGGCGGACAGACGGACGGACAGACGGACGGACGGACGGACGGACGGACAGACAGTCACCCGGATTTCAACTCGTCTCTTCATCCTGATCATTTATATATTTATATATATATAACCCTATATCTAACTCGATTAGTTTTAGGTGATACAAACAACCGTTAGGTGAGCAAAATTATAATACTCTGTAGCAACAGGTTGCGAGAGTATAAAAAAAAGGCGAGCTAGACGTGAATGACAAGCAAATCGATCTCGTTTTACTCAGGTGCAATTGAAGGATGCAGTACGTAAATTAAGAAAGACGCTGAAGTGTGAAAAAGAATACAACAATGAAAATTATATAAAGAAACTGAGCCTAAATTCAATCAACAAGCAAAACTACTATTGGAAAGCCCAAAAACGCATTAAGTCACTGGTAGATTCCAATATGCCCATAAGAGACGTGAGTGGTAATTGTGTTAAAAGTGATGAGGTAAATGCAATTTGCTTTGCAAACTATTTAGAGAAATTATTTTACCTTAGTTGTCCACAAAACGACTTTAATCTGCCAACTTTGCCCGACACTGCTAACGAGTCGTTCTTGTCTATTAAGACTTTTGAAATTAAAAATATAATGAAACTATCAAAGATAGAAAGCAGATTTCCTCCATGAAAATAATACAATTCCAACGTACCAATTCGGGTTTCGTGCAAAATATGGCACAGTAGAGCAAGTATGTTAAATAGAATTATGAACGAAATTAGAAAGGCATTCGAGTACAGAGAGTATTGTTCAGCAATATTCCTTGATGTAGCTCTGGCATTTGTTAAGGTGTGGCATGAAGGCCTTTTATATAAAATTTAAAAAATATTCCCTTTCGAGTTGAATATTTAAAAAATAATAAAGATTTAGTGTTAAAGTGGCTAACTTCATATCAGATGAACGACCGATAAGGGCTGATATACTCCAAGGGAGTGTGCTATGCCCAACTCTATATATCTTATATACAGCAGACATTTCAACTGGCAATAAGGTTTTGACATCGACTTTTGCGGATGACTCAAATGTCCCATCGGCGCGTCAAGGGTACTAGTAAGCATTTAGCTTTGGTTAAAAAATTGCTACCCAACTGACGAATAAATGTAAATGAACAAATATGTAAGCATGTTACCTTTTCACTAAAACCAAAAGTGTGTCAGCCGAATAAAATGAATAAAAACAAATGATTTTACTTATCTTGTCATTCACTTGGACAGAAAGCTCACATGGAGAAAACATATATCCAGTAAAACAACTAGCATGAAAATAAGAGCAGCAAATTTGATCTGTATGGTATTCAACTGTGGGGTGGGGTGGTGCACAGGTCGTAGCAACTAACATTGATATAATACAAAAATTCCAGTCAAAAATCCTTAAAGTTATAATAGGTTCACCATGATACATTCGTAATGAAAACATTATAAAGATCTTGGTATTCCTATGGTAAAGAAAGAGGTAGAGGACAGCAGAAAGAACTATGAAATTAAACTCCGTAACAATTCAAATACATTAGCTAATACCTTGTTACGGTCCTGTAATCAAACCCACCTAAAAAGAAAAGATTTACTAGCCTTCTAAAGAGCAATGTATTACCAAACAGGCTTAAGTACAATCTTGGGATTTGCCTAGTTTTAATTAGATATACGATTTTGTTTCTTATTGTTAGGCTTTGAACAAGCAGATTCACTAAATATAGATATGTTAACAAAAAACAAAATTAATCTAACTTTTTCACTTTCCAGCATACAAATCAAGCACTCGGGATAAAAATTTACACAAATATTGCCTTCTCAGATCTCAAAATTGACAAAATCGGATCACAAATATTAAAGCCCCAAATATCGGTCAATGTGTGAGATATATTATTGAAATTGGAGTGAATATGTCAATATTCATAATAATATGTCAATATGTGATATATATTATTGAAATTGGTAGAGTATCTTCTCCTCATGTCAAAAATTGAATGAATCGAGTCAATATTTCCCTTAGCCCCATATACCTAATAGAAAGATTTTCAAACTTTCGACTGACTTTATATCCCATATATCGGCTAATATGTGAGTTATCATAATTAAATTAAGTGAGCGTGTGCATCTCTATGCATAAAATGGATATAATCGAGTGTAAACTTACACCAGCCCCGTTCAACATATATTAGGATTTTCAAACATCCGGTTGAATTTTCTATTACAATTTACATATTGTTGTCTGTGTGGAAGGTACCTTAATGAAACTCAGAGGGCGTATTTTTCTATAAATAATATGTAGTAAGCCAAAAAAAAATAATATCGTGTCAATCTCCCATATACCTAATAAAGATTTTCAAACTTCCGGTTGACCTTATATCGTTTATAAAGGTCAACATATAAGATCTCTTAGCAAAATTAACTGAAGGTATTTCCCTGACTTTAGTTCTGGTAAGTTGCAAGAGTATGAAATGTTCGGTTACACCCGAACTTAGCTTTTCCCTACTTGTTAAATATTTTTTGCCAACACCTGACGGTCTTAAGCCGCCATTGATCCTTGCAAGTTGCAAGAGCATAAAAGGTTCGGTTACTCTCAAACTTAGTCCTTTCGTACTTTTTGAATATAAAGTTTTGTCAATACCTGAAAGTATTTCTTCAGCTTTAATCCTTGCAAATTGCGAGAATAAAATATTCCATTACACACGAACTTAGCCCTTCCTTACTTGTTTTTATAACCTTAACAGGGTATATTAAGTTGGCCACATTCGTCAGAACCGCCGATACTATAACACCACTATACATACATATGCATAGCTGCTAAACAAACAGAACAGAAGATCAGAAACAAGTGCAGGTATGGGAAATTTTTTCATTTGTCTAAATATATTGAAGAAATTTGACAAAAACAATTATCTGAGAATTTTTTCAGATCGGATAACTATAGTATACAGCTGCCATACAAAATAAACGACCTAAATCAAGTTCTTGTAAGGAATATTTTGTATTTGTGAAGGGTATTGGATGACTTGGATCATCTTACTCCGAATTCATAAATTGAAAGCGTACAAAATACAGCTTGTGCAAGAACTGAAGCCGCTCGGCCTTCCTCGCTCTATGTGCTCCTGAAAAGTTTCAAGAAGATCCGACGTTTTCGAGCCAAATTTTGTTCAGCAATGAGGCCCATTTATGACACAATGGGTACAAGCAAAATTGTCGCATTTGGGACGAAGGGCAACCTGAAGAGTTTGAAGAGCTGCCATTTCATCTAGCAAAAACAACGGTTTGGTGTGGTTTGTAGGCCGGTGGAATCATCGGTCCATATTTCTTCAAAAATGATGCCGGTGTGAACGTAACCGTCAATGGCGACCGTTATCGCGCCATGATAACCAACTATTTGATGCCTGAAATAAAAGCTCGTGATCTCGGCGACATTTGGTTTCAATAAGATGTCGCCCACACATTGCACTTATCAGTGGATATATGGAGAGAACATTTCGGTGAGCAAATAATTTCACGTTTTGGACCGATCGAATGGCCAACAAGATCGTATAGACTTTTTTTCAGTGTGGATATGTGAAGTCTAAATTGTATGCGGACAATTGTGCTCCGATTCAGGCCTGAGAGCAAAACATCACGCGTGTCATTCGCCAGTTACCAATAGATATGCTCGAACGAGTCATCGAAAAAAGAAGAAAGAAATTTAAATATATTTGCTTAAAATATGGTTTGAATCGATCATTAGGTTGATTGCAGTTTTATAAATCTGTTATTAACAATAAAGTTCAAAACGAAAACTTATCTTAATACATATGAACAAATAATAAAGTTCTTATTCGAATTAGTATATCTATGTATACCATACATAAGTGGTGATCTTTGTGAATTTGAGTCAGTTCAAATAATAATAATTAAGGTGAAATCAACTGGCGAATTCAGTACGCATTTTATAATATACCTTCATTTGTTGGATTTAGTATAAATAGTGCATGTATAATGTAAAAAGCGGTCTCAAATAAGAGGAATTGAGATTAATGAATTAGGATGAAGCGCAATTTCGACTACTAAGAGAAGTTTGATGTGTTAAACCGACCGCTCCTTAACTGTAAAATTAAATTTTATACACCAAATCCGCTATATTACTTTATTTATAATTACTATATTATCCTTTGAACTTATATATGTATATATTTACCTTTTTTTTAATTTTACTGATTAATGTTGATAAATTTATTAGTTTAAAAAACTATGTGGACTTTGAATAGTGGCTAATTATTTGCAATAAAATAATTTTTAACACTACATTAAACCTTTAATACAATTTTGGTGTTAGTGTTACAGTTAGTTATAATTGTTATACTACACCTACGTTTACTATTACCGTCCCACCTATGTATGTACGGTGCTGCGGCTTGAATTTACTCATTGTCCAGTACTTCCATCGTTGCTGCTGCTGGAGTATACATAATATTATTATAGTTAAATCTTATGCATAACAGTATTTACCAATGTATAATTTTATTAATGTTCACATTCTAGCAATAATAATTATTTCATACTACTGAAATTATAGTTCTTATTCAGTAGGGAAAAAATAACACGACAAGCTTTTAAATCAAACATATATACCTATAAAACAAATCTTTTGCTTTGCAATCTATCTAAGCCAGCTACGCCCAACATCAACATTTCAATTTTGCCTATGTATTGGGTACGGACGTCGATGACTCGGCAGACAATAGGTTATTAAAATGTTTTAAATTCTTTCTTAGGAAAGAGTTATTTGATTTATCATATACTCGTATGCGCTTCGAACGCGAAAGCGAAACTTTGTGGGAATGCTACCTTATGGAAAATTTTGATTTATCTTGGTACTAAAATTATTTATGATTAGAATAAAACCACATTAAGATATTATATATAATTTTTTGAATAAATAGAACATTTGGTACAAATGGATTACGCAGTATTTAAATATTGCAAAATTTCATTTAATGAAATAATTTTGAGTACCACCTTTACATTTTAATAATATGGACCCTTTTTGCGAAATTATGGTATATTCTTTAATTTAATTGAATTTTCGGTACCATGTTTTGTTAAAGTTTTTCTTAAAGTTTTCGATTTTCTTAAGTAGCAAAATTGTCGTATGTGCCATACGAAATTAATCCTCTACACTCACTATGATGAAATACTCTAATATAAATGAATTATTTTTATTGCGTCGGCTTCTTTAACACACATTCAATAATTTACTGTTTAAAACAATTCCGAGTATTATCGATTTATAGATTTTTGCATGTTCTTCTTTAATATGCAATTAATACAGCGTTGTTTTTCCGAAAAAAGAAACAGGTCGTGTTATCAATTCATCCAAATATATAAAATTAAATTCAATATATTATGTTATATTAATGGTGTTGGCTTTGACTACGGTACTTTTGTGGTAACTTTATTCTACTGCTTGTAATATCATACAAGTGTGATTTCACGCTTTTATTTGGTTTGAGTGACCTGTGTTTATATAATATAATACCTATGTTAACACCGGCACCCAAAAATGTTATTTGTGCACCGGAGCTTTCGGCATGTGTTACGATTATAGAAATAGCAACATAATTGTTTAGATTTACAAAAGCAGATACTCATATTTAATAAAAAGGTCAGGAAAATCAGTATTCAAGTGCTCTTAATTTCCATCTGAAATTTAAACGAATTTGTCTGCCGAAAACTGACGCTGTGAAGAAATTTAGTGTGATAAGTCAAGTATGAATAACATTTTGCATATTTAGATGCAGACAATTCAGTTATGGAGATGATGTATGTATGTACTTGTTATAAAGGTTTTGTTTTGATAAAATGGTTCTAGTAATAAAAAACGTAGAATGCTAAACTAAGGATATATTTTAGATGTACTATATCGGATTTTATACTCTCGCAACATGTTGCCACAGAGTATAATAGCTTCATCACCGAAAACTAATCAAGATAGATATAAAGTTATGTATATGGGTCATTCCATCGAAAATTTACATTCAAACATTTTACATCACATAAAACATTTTTTTTGGTACTTTGAAGCAAAATATTGGACACATATTTCTTTATTTTGACTCAATTTGAAATATTTTGGAGTTATGAATTTTTAAAATTTCAATGCCCGAAAAAGTACCTTTAAACATTTGCGTATACGAAGAAAAGTATTTCCACCGATTGTTTAAGACAGCGGTACAACATCCGATAAAATGTTTCTGATCGGACATCGGATAGAATATGGCTGCCAAAAACTTTTGCAGTGGTGTGTCAAAAATTTGTTATGAAAGCTTTTAATATTTCAGAATGATGGATAGAAATGCACGCAAAGAGCAATTTTCACTTTTTAGAAAATGTGACTGATTACATCATATATAAAAATGCATTATTGTTGAGCCAAAACTAAAAAAGTTTATGTTTCAGAGGAATTGAGGAATATTTGAAACCTAGTTTTGATTTGCAGAAAATTTTAGATACTATTTTTGGTAAAAACCCTTTTTTACTCTCGAAAATATGATTACTATAATTTCAGAGTGTATGAGAATGATACCAGAAATGGTTACTTTTTTATGGGGCGGGCAAGACAGTAAACGAGGATGAATTGAATATTCTCACTCACTATAAATACCGTAACATTGTAAATAGTAGAGCAGTAATTGATAAACTAAACTTATGTATATTGCGAGAGTTGCGGTGGCCAAAATTTCTTTACTTCTTGGACACACCATGATTCTCGTAAATTCGGGACATAGTGCAGTCGAATTATTTGTACGCAATTGAACATTTAGACTTTAAGAACATTAAAAAACTTAAACTAAACATGAGCAAGTATCGAATTGCTACATTTGAAAAAAAAAAGAATAATTTCTCTAAAATATGGATATGTTGATAATTTTAACATTCAAAGCATACATTAATTTAATTTTAATTATTGTGATGAAATATTACATAGAAACTCATTATGCTTTTTAAGACAGACATTGAATGATCAAAACAATGTTTGCATAAAAAAAGTATCCCAACAAAATACCACCTCGGGTACCTAATTTCAAAAGTTCAATACATATTAAAGATGTTTTAAAGGAATCCTATAGACGATAAGGTTTAAATTTAGAATATATACATATATTATGAAATAAAAATAAATTGTTATAATAAGCTAAAACCGTATTAATATCATGCTTTTATAAGTTGAAATTAACCTCTTATTCGCATTTGATCGGTTTAACTAGTTATCGTAAATGCCAAAGTTAATCCCCACATGCATAAAACTTTGCACGCGAGTTTATCGTATAAAGTGGCAATATTTACAAAATAGGCAGAATTTATAATTAAATATTGGCTGGTATATTTGGTTGGTTGATTATTTGTTGTACTAATGTTGTACATAGGAAATTTGGAAGCAATTTCCAAAGTCAAATCGGAAGAAACCAGAAAAAACAAGATAGAATAATTTCGCAAAAGGGATCGATAAACTAAATTACATATGTATGTATATTTTATATATATGCTAACCCTTACCGACTTTACTAATAACGTCGCATTTTTGTTGTTGGATCTGTCTTAATTGTATAGGACTCATATGTCTGCTTGTATCCGCCGTGATGTAAGTGCTATAATGACGGCCACCATTATCATCGATCGGTTCTTTTAGAACATCATGGTTATGTTGTTGCTGATGCTGGTGTAAATGCTGTATTATACGTCGAACATGTAGACTCTTGTGTGTTGTTACATTTGGATCATGCTCCCATAGTTTCATTTGATTTTTGCTGTCGTTAAAGTTCGTTTCATTTGTGCCTTCCAAAGCCATAAATTGTGTATTTAATATTGGATTTACTGAGTTTGTGGATGTAATTTTTGTAGCGCAGCCAAAACCTTCCGTATTGCTTGTTGCATTGGACGATTTACCGACTGCAAATTTTTTGATTAATGCTTCTACTGATATGGGTTGTTGTTGCAGCATACGCCATTCTATAACCGCGTTTGGCATCAAAGGATGGGGATGACTTGAATTAGTACGTTTATGTATGATATTATTCTCATTATCAGAGTCACCATAATTTTCTGCACCATTATGGGAGCTGCTACCACTTTTTGAGATCGAACTAAATAATTGTTGGTGCTCGTCTTTATTGTGATCATGCTCATCAATATCATTTGCAACAACGTCGATCTCATCCTGCTCTTGATCGCGCTCGTACTCGATCTCTAGTGGCGAAAATTTTTGTGCTTGTGAAACGGGGAGTGTAAACGAACTTTTATGAGTAACTTGTGTCTCAGCAGGCATTAGCTGCAGCCGGTGTTTTCCATGTTCCTCTGTGTTTTTTTTTAGAAATTGAGCGTATTCTAATGCATCAAAAGTAGGTGCTTGCTGATCCATTTCTCTTAATGTCGTCGTGAAAATGTTTCGGTCAGGAGCCAAGAGAGATGCTACATCAAATTGTCGTTTATGCATTTGCGTATAATAATTAGTTTTTGCACTAGTAAAGGAATGTGGTGCAACGGTCGATATGGCCGTTCCATTAATTACAGAAATTTTCGAGTTTTTGTGATTATCGGCAAAGGAATGCTCGGACGACGATTGTGTTCCGTTGTCATTATTATGCAGATTATCTAATTGCCCATTGCTACAAAGTTTATAATATTCTTGCTGTAAACTTGACGTATACCCATTTTTGAATGCCGGAACTGGCGGCATACACGTATACTGTTCCATAACAGCTGTACCAAAATAACTGTCTTGATTTTGCTGTTGCGCTTGCTGTAATGAAAACGACGATGTGGGAATTTGCAATAACGGGTTCAAATAATTAAATGAACGCGCATTAGGTGTACTAAAATCATGCGTCGCAGTTAAACTATTTCCTGGGACAGGTAATCGGAGCAAACGAGTTGATGTTAATTGCGTTGACGTCAGATCGAGTGGCGGCGGACTGGGAGAGTCTGTGCCACCATCATCTAACGATAAACCCATATGTTTGCGAACCTTGCGTTGTGCCTTACGACGTCTGAAATCACCTCTACGAAAATCGTCAATATTTGCCGGATGTATGGCCCAGTAATGGCCCTTTCCATTGGCACTACGTCCGGATTTAATGAAGCAATCATTCAATGATAGATTGTGTCGTATTGAATTACGCCAACCTGGTCCACGTGCACGAAAATAAGGATAGTTATCTAAAATATGTTGATATATATCAGACAACACGAGTTTTGTTTCGGCAGAACTCAGTATTGCCATCGCTATAAGACCTATATAGCTGTACTGTGGTTTTGGCTCCTCTGGACGAACCATTCGCTGTGGGAATAGTGACATTGAAAAATCAAAACGGTTTCCATGTGCTAACGCTAACGGGACATATGGTCTAACACTACTTATGTTAGGGCTGGAATAATTACTATCCCTCTTCATATCTATTGACCCTAAATTATATTTATTTTCTCCGTTTACTACTAAATGCAAACCGGGACCAGGACTACTTCCATAAACCGCTGTCGTATTATGTTGAAAACAGCGCAAACGATCTATATTTAACGCATAGTTATAGAGTTGCAAACGATATTGTTCTAGAGAGTTGGTCGATGGTATCAAAACGAGATTTTCACTACGTACATTTTGAACATTCATATAAGATGCTGATACAACAGGACTGGTTTGTTCATCACTTTGCCGTAAGGAGGGAGCGTCCGATGATAATAAAAATGCATTGTTGACTCCTGAAGTAACGTAAGTAGTAGTGTTAGCATCATACGGTTCTGAGAAATATTTTAAAAAGTTAGAGTCCAAATATTTATTTACTGTTTCCATTGAATTCCCTAATTCAATTGTATCGAAAGGATCAGTCTGTTTACTGCGAGCTGAGTTTATGATCTGAATACTGAAATGACAACAATAATTATAATTACACTCTCATAACATGTTACATAGAGAGTATAGTTGTTTGACAATTAAATGTTACACTCTAAAATAGTCGAGATAAATTTACTAATTTATGAAAATGATCAAAATTATGCGATGAACTTGCGTTGGCGAAACTTTTCTGTTCTTTTTTTTAGTCCTTCCAACTGTCTCACATAGGAGTAATTGCATGAACAAAATAAAATTATTACGTGATTATTCGGAATATATTTTTTCTTATAAAACCTGATATATCACCAAATTTTAATATACATATATTACAAGAATAAAAAAATAATAAAAGCGCGTGTTTACTTGTTTTTGAATATTTTATTTATTTATTTAAAAGAGAAGCAATTATAAAAAATTATTACATTTATTTATACAATACATAAAACATTGGCTGCCAGGACACTCGGCTTAATTTAAATTTACAGATTAAAATATTCCAATTATATTACTTAAGTCTAAAGCAAATTTAAGTTTAGTTTGTACTTCAATTATCTGTATATTAAATATTTAATTTGCAGATTTGAAAGTATTTTACAAATAGGTTAATGTTACTGTCATCTGTCCGATTGAGCAAGTCAAATGGTTTTTTGTCGGCAAATATCGAGATTCTGTATTGTTCTAAGTGTGGGCAGTTGTCGAGGATATGAGGTATTGTGAAGTCTTCCGACCTACAAGAAGAACATGTGGGTTTGTTTACACCATTCAAGTGGTGTCCATATGTAGCAAGTGTATGTCCAACCCTGGTGCGTATGAATGTTTTTATATTCTTACAGGTGATGGTATGGGAATGCTATGATTTTTGGTCAGATGGGTTTGTCTCTAATCGTTTAGACAACAGTGTTGTTTGCCAGAGTTCTTAATATCTTTTGTGGTAAAGTATGGAGACGTATGCAGAGGTTCATTTATTGATTCCTTCGCTCGTTTGTCGGCCATTTTGTTGCCTTGGATTACTTCATGCCCTGATATCCACATAATTTTGATTATGTTGTTTTATTTACAAATAAAGTTTTTTATTTTTGTGATCTGGGGGGAAAAGTTTGATTGGTTAAAAATGGCATCTGTTACGGATTTGCTGTCGCTGCAAATAATGGTTTTGCTTCCATTGTTAGAGGCCAAAAGTACCGCTCCCAATATGGCAGCTGTTTCAGCTGTAAATACCGAGCAGTATAATGGCAAAACAAAGGCAGCTATGGTGACATTGATCTTATTTGTCAGAGCAAATGTGTTGGAGGTATCACTTTTAGATCCGTCTGTAAAGATAAACTCCCAATCGTCTGTATATGGTTGTATAGTTTCTTTATATATATATTCCTAGTTGCTTGGAAAAAGTGATACAACGCATGATGGTTGAGGGTTGGTTGTGTCTGCGGGAACATTGGAGGGTACTATTTACGTTATTAAGTGTTAACTCGTTTATACATAGGAGGAATTTTGTATAAGTAACAGTGTGTTATGTGTGGTCCTTTGCAGGATATCTGGTAATCCGGATTCTAATAAAATTGCTTTAATTGGTGGTGTTGAGAAGGCACGAATACTCCTCCTAGCTGCTGCGTGGCATTGCGCGTTTAAAAGTAATATATGGGTTTTGGCACAGTGTCCGTATATTCCAAGTCCATAGTAAATTTTTGATAACAGTAAGGCTCTTAAGACATTAATGAGAATGTTTGGGTGATACAAACAATTTTTTGATGATCAATACTTTATAATATTTAGTCTTACAAATAAGTATGATCGAATATATTTACAGTGTTCTTTATAACAAAGAGTTTTGTCAAATATTATACCTAGTATTTTTAAACTATGAGTATGGGGAATTCGGGTATTTATAAAGGAAAGGGTGGGGTATGAGCAATTGTGTTTTCTACATATATGAAACGTGGAGCTTTTGTTTAATGGAATCTTTACACCGGAAATTCCGGACCATTTGTTTTAAGTTTTAAAGTTTTGTAAAGATCACGACGTCATCTGCGTTGATATAGTGGATCAGGGCTAATTATGGAGCTGACTTTGTTAAAGGCTATGATAAAGAGAGTTGTAAAGAGTGGTGAACCCTGAGGTATACCATTGGAAATGGGACTGAAATTCTCAATATAGGAAGAAGGATTATTAGGTTTAGGAATGGGAAAGACTAGGGAAACTTTTCATGGCTGACGATATATACCAGTATTAAATATCTTATTATAGAGGTGAAGAAATCTCTCTTTAGGAGAGTATGAGATGTTTTTTAACATGGGGTAGGATGTTTTGACTGTACCGGGTGTTTTTCTTTTTAGGGTCAAAAGTGTGGTTTCGAACTCGTTAAGTGTAATATCGGCTTCAATGTAAAGTGCATTTGGAGAAGGCGATGAGTTAAAAGAGGTTTCATTTTCTATTCGTTTTTTGATTGCGTTAAATGTAGTAGGAAAGTTTGTATCGAAGGAGTATGATGACCAGGTCTCTGCAAACTTTTCCAAAATTTCTTGAGGTGTGTAAATAGGTCCTGATAGCGTGTCAATATGGGATATACTAAACCTATGTGTGGATTCTGTTAGCATGTTTATATCGGATCATATTTGTTTCGGATTAGTGGTTGGGTTTATATAGCCAATCTTAACCCCTTTCTTAGGGGTCTTAGCGTCAGTTCTGTTGTGTTTGAATGTTGTCCTCAAAGATTTTTTCCTGTTTCTGAGAATAATTAATAGATTAGGCCAATACGGTAGTTTTGCTGAAAACCTTTTGGTGGTATTTTGGGGAATGGTAAAATGAGCTGCAGAACAAATAATAGTCTTAATAGCAGATGCTTCAGCATTTACGTTTTCTTTAGAGCTCCTAGAATTAGACAAACATGCGGATATACAATATTACTAAATTTTTGCCCAGTCTGTCTTTTCGGTTAGTAATTTGGACCTTGGCTTATCGTTATTCGATTTGCGGATGGAGAGGAATGTGATTTAGGAAAGTGATAGCTACTGTGAATGTCATCAATTGTATGAGGTGACAGTTTGGGTGCAATTTTGGATGAGGCAAGGATAATGACGGGATGTGTAAAGGTACTATGTGTAGAGAAGTGGGTTGCTTTACCATCATTTACTACAATAAGATCATTCGAAAGAACTATATCTTCGATGATTTCGCCTCTTTTATTCCCTGTCGGCCTATTAAAGTCTCCCATTATAATGATTGGTGTAGTGAAATGATTTAGAATATTGTCAAATTCTTTATAAACAAAATTTTGATGAGGTGGGACGTAGCAATTAACAATTGAGAATTTAAACCCTATTTCTATTTCGATAGCTAGGCAAGAGATGTTGCTTACGCAAGGAATTTGCTTATGATTTACTGATTCCTTAATGAAAATTGCAATTCCTTGTTTGGCGTATAAGTTTTGTGGACTATTGTGGAAATAACTGTTATATTCTATATTATTATATATTTATTAGGAGGATAAACTTTTTTATGAAAGGGATATGGGTTTCTTAAAGTGATATAATTTCTGGGCAAAATTCATTAATAAGGAATATATATTTAGTAGGCCATTTATATTCCATTGTAGAACACTCATTATTTATTCTATCATTACATTTTCTGTTGTTAAATAAGGTTATAACTGTAGGTTAAGGTGGGAATATTGTTGGTGTTGTTAGTACGACAGCTGTAAGATATGAGAGCAATGAGGAGATCATTGCGTAGGTTTGAGAGTCATCGACTGATGCCGTTGTTTTTGTACTTGTCTTATTTGCTGTGGTGTAATTGTTTTCGTTTATTTTTTTTTCTTGTGTTTCGTTATAATTTGTGGTTGCTTTGTTGTTTATAATTGAAGAAATGTTTTCTGTAGAAGATATTTACATGAACATGTTGTTTTCTTTTAAATTGTTGGTAGTTATAGCAGAGAACGTAGAAGAACGAGAAGATAATCAATACATGTGCGCGTTTTGATCTATATGTAAGTATGTATGTACAAATATACGTATGACATTGCAAATGCATTACTTATGCATACAGAAATCTGCATATATACATATATGCGTACAAATGTAAGTATGTCAGCTAATCAGAAGAATACAAACATTGTTATACAAAAACAACAATTGTCTCAAATAGCATAAACAGCGTCAGATATCAATATGGCAGAAAAATTGACAAATCCTAGATTTGTAGTAAATCACTCAACAACAACATTTTCGTTCATGAACGCTGGAACACATGCATTAAGCTAAGTCGTTTCTTTCATAAAAGCAAACGCCTTACATATATCCTCGAGCGTGCGTTTACCTACAAGCGTCTTTTCGCGACGATAGCAAAAGCTAGAAATCTTTAATTGAACACCGTGTTGATGTTCACTCTTGAAGAGAAATGTGACAACCCTGCAAGCCCACAAAATGCAGTAAAAAGTGACAAAAGTGGCAACAAAGCCTTTGTCGATTTAAAATATTTCACAATTCTAAAATATTTTTCCATATTTAAACATATGTACATATTTATAATGATTTGTAGGCAAAGCTGTTAGAGCGGCAAGGGAAGCGATAACAATCGGCGAGCATTCGTTTATTTTTTCGGCACATCTCGGAATTTCTACCAACAACACAATATGGTGACGCTTTGTCGTCGCGTCAGTCCTTCGACAGATTGACTCTTTGACATGAAAGCAAAAAAGCTTCGGTCATTGGTTGACCGTGTACATATCTACATATGTACATATTGTACATGTATGTATGTGTGTGATTTTTAGACAAATTTACATATATTTTTTTTTCATATTTCTTTACATGTACACATGATATGAAAATGCCGAGGGCAAAACACAATTTTGTACGTTTATGACTCCATAATGGTGTCAAGTACATGAATTATTTTAAGAAATGTATCAAAATTTTTACTAATAACTCACAATAAAGTAAAAATGAATTAGCATAAAATAATTTAAAAAAGAAATAAATAATAGATCAACAAAAGGGAATATAAATATTTCAAATGGCATATCAATATT